AAATTTTAGTGAAATTGGGGCAAGGCATGAAACAACGGTTTTGTTGTTAACATTGTGAAATAAGGGAATTGTCATAAGGAACTCTGTAAGTTAGACACTCTTCTCAAACAGTTTCTTTTAGAAACATATAAATAGCTTGCCAAACACAGTTTTCATATTGTTAGGTTTTTTTTTTTTTTTTTTTTGAGTATGCTGAGTCCATGAGTGACTATCACCATGGGATGTTAATGTGACACCATACTCATAGTTGTGTTGTCATTTCCGGAAGTGCAGAATACTCCTTTGCATAGTCCTTTGCTTCTATATTATTTCTAACTGCGTCGGCAGGGTTATCTATATGATACTGTAAATTATTTCTCTTTAGTTGAGGATATTTTTGCTTATTGTTTATATCTGATGCTTCAGACTACGTGCTGGAGGGAAGTGAAGGAACACCTTTTGCAGGTTTGTCTTTTCCCCCGACTGCCATTGTATTTTGATACGTGTATTGGGTTCTTAGCATAAATAATCTATATGATAAATTAGTCATTTTTTGCACTGTTCTTATGATTATCTGGGTTTGATTTCAATGCTTGTGTATTTTTTTAATTTTCTCTACTCATTGTAGGTGGATATTACTACGGAAAGATCAAGTTTCCTCCAGAGTACCCATTTAAACCACCAGGAATCAGGTATCTACTTTCTGGATGCCAAACTTCTCCAGAAAAGTTATTTGCAAATATTTATGAATATTTCGTCATGCAATTGTTTACTTCATAAATTACTTTGTTGATTCTAATTGCTACTTACTCTTTCCATGCTGTCTGTAGCATGACTACTCCAAATGGAAGATTCATGACTCAGAAGAAAATTTGTTTATCTATGAGTGATTGTAAGTTTTGTGAATTTCTTTTTAAAGAGAATATTTCTTGTGTGTTTTTCAGTAACTAACTTCATGTGGTACATTTGCAGTTCATCCTGAAAGTTGGAATCCAATGTGGTCCGTGTCAAGGTTAGACACATCTGGGTTAATTAAGAACTTGTTTTGTTATGTTATGTTAATTGTTTTTCTACGCTTTCTCTTTGTTAGCAATTCCCTATTACTTATAATACTTGTGGTAAGTTGTAATTTTACTAACATCCGTTCTTCAAATATGCAGCATACTCACGGGGCTACTTTCATTCATGGTGAGTCCATTTTGGCCCTTTGACATGCTGATTTCTCTTTCACTTTGGTTTCTTTTTGCAATTTTATTTTCTACTGCGAACTGTTTTTATAATGTTATATCAGATTCTCCTAACGAATAAGTTGCTTAATGAATCTTAACTTGTTTGGAAGTACAGGCAGCCGTATCTTTTGTATAATGAGATGTGCTGATTTGTATCCCTGATGCTGTGTTCAGTAGTTCAGGCAAATCATTTTATGTTGAACATGGTTTATTTAATTTTTTTCAAAATCTATTCCTTTGGTTGGAAATGTTACATCCTTTTGTTACTTTTGAAACATCTCTAAGGCTTCAATACATATTTTCTCACGTAGATGGACACCAGTCCTACTACCGGCAGTGTGAACACTACTGTTGCTGAGAAGAAACGTCTGGCAAAAGCTTCTCTTGCATTTAACTCTAAGAAGTAAGTTCACTGGGTCATCCACAGCTTGTTTCCTCTATTTTAGATTATTTAAGCCACACCGATGGCTAAAGTAACATAATGTTTGAATATGGTTGTGGTTGAGTGGCCCATGCTCTTCTTCCATTCATCTGCATTTGCATTAACCAATTCCAATTGCCAATTGTGCTGCTTGTGTCTGTTCAAAATTTGCTTGAATTAGGTGAGTTGAGAGTACTAGGCGTCAAATCAGTTTGCTCAGACAGCTGATTTTTGTATAGAATTTATATATCATTCCAATAGACCCCATTGGATATTTTTTCGAGGAAAAAAACTGTTCGGACACCCTGCCCTTTCATTTCCATCAAGGGTATTCCTGATTAGGGGTCCCGTGTGGATTACTCCCCCTTTGGCTCGTTTCTGGTTTTCTACGTGACGAGTTTTAATCTTTATCGTGCTGTCTGACAATTTTATATTGAAACAGTGCAACATTCCGGAAAATGTTCCCCGAGTATGTGGAGAAGTATAACCAGCAGCAGCAGCAGCAGCTTTCCGAACAGCTTACTCCAGAGCATGTGTCATCCGATCCATCTCAAGGAAATTTGAGGCCCTTGTTGGAAAAGGTTGATGATTCAACAGGAGGTATAAAAGGAGTAGATGCCGAGGCGGGAAAAAAGAAAAGGCAGTCAGTCCCAACCTGGATGATGGTTTTGCTGATTTCCGTCTTCGGTGTTGTAATGGCGCTGCCTCTACTTCAACTTTAATATCGTACATCCCAAGTAGAAAATTTATTTGGGCCCGTGGACATAAAAGCTGTTGCGAGTCGAGGTACTTGTTCCAAATACTCGATTTAGGTTTTATCTCTGTATCTAATATAATTTTGTATAGGAGGTTGATGCTAAGGTCAGTCGACTCTCGTGGCCGATGTTTTTCCTTCTATGTCAATGTTTGGTCCTCGTTTGCCTGCTAGTGTTCAAACATGACACTGCTCGTTGTGTTATTTCGACTTGAGTGGAGTTTCTGTTTGGTCTTTTGGTTGCTACTCTCTCTCGCCTGCAATCACGCACAATACAACCCTCCCTTGCACGCACAAGTTTCCGGTTCGGATTTCGGTTTACATTGGACATGCACAGCTTAGAAAATGATAGGATAATGAACTGAAGTTCCAAGTAATGCACGTATGGAGGTTCCCAGGCATGCAAATATATTTACAAACCTATATGAGAAGTTAATATATGATAATTTATGAAAATCAAAATACACATACAGTAGTATATACACTTTTCAAAATTCGGGTCTTCACAAAAGAAGTGTGGTAGGATGGATAAGATTGCAAGTGCAAAATACGGTGAAAAACACCGGAAAATGGCGAACGACACAGAGAATAAACGTCGTGACCTCAGAATCCGGCAACTATAAGCAGTGAAAGGGCAGGACCATGCATGTAATTACTTGAGAGGAGAAGGAAAAGATGAAGAGTAAGGAGGTTGTTGCCAACCCCAACCTTTTGGTAGTTTCTCTGCGAGATGGAAAACGGGGAAGCATATAGGATTTTTGGCACAAAAGTTTAACAGAACAATATAAATTACATTAAGGGGTGAGGAATTTTGGCAAAGCCGCACAATAGGCCAGTCATAATATTTTGATATCGAACTCATTATACACGAAAGTCAACTTTAAGACCTCTTATTACAAGTGAACAAGAACACAATAAATAAATCATAATAAGTCGAAATATTATAAACAATACAATAAATTGTCATCTTGACCTATTAATCTAGTGATGTCCTGTCTTTACTTGACTTGAAAAGATTTCAAGTTCAACTCACATTGATGTAAAAATAATAAATTTATAATAAACTTGATAAAACGTCATTGTACAGTGAAGCAAGTTTCTATTTCTCTCTATCTTGCTTTTTAATTGGTTATGTTCTGATTGACGCCAGAAATGGAGGAAGAAGGAGAAACAGACATTACCTTTTCCCTTTAAAATTTTTGCCCAAAAGAAATGTCTACCCTCCATATCCACACTATTCTCATACCTTCATGTGATGTGTGATCATGGTTAAGCCATGTTAATATTTTATATTAATTTTTTATAGAAATAATAAAACAAAAAGTAATAGGAATATAAAATATTAACGTGGCTTAACCGTTACCATACAAACCAAAAAAACATAAAAAATATATGAAAATGAAAAGACAAACAATCCACCTTCCAAAAGAAATCCTCAAACCCGCCAAAACATGCTCCGCATTCGTCGGCACTCGTGCATGACCCAGTCCACATGACAAAATGTATCTTTCACTGCCCTTAATTTTTGGGTTAAGTATAAATAACTGTCAAATCTTTAAGGGCGATTCAAAATTAATCAATTAATCCTAAACTCTTCTCTATCTTTAGTGTAAAATATATCGTTGTACTAAAAAATAATTAGTCCTAGTTTTTTTAAATATTTCAAATAACGACTCAACATTTTAAAAAATAAACATTTATTAGGTCACTAGCGTTAAATGATGATGTGAATAAATATTGAAATATATTCGAACTCTCAAGTCATATGTGAAGATTTGAATTCCCAAATCGACCTTTTTTAGCCAAGCAAATTTAGTGTTTTTGTTTTTTTTGCTAAATGTCACGATTTAAGGATTTTGAGCTCCAAAGATAAGGATTGGTAAAAATCAACTTCATTTTTGTCCATGTTTATCATTTAACATTAATGTCATTATCACTTAACACTGATACCGTAGTCACTTGACGTTTGTAACCTAACATATGTCTAACTTTTAAAACATTAGGTAGTTTTTTGGAATGTTTTAAAAGGTTATGACCAATTTGGAATCACCCCTAAAGTTTGGTAGTCATACGTCCTTAACCCTTAATTTTTTGACAGTTTTTTTATTTTTTATTACAACTGATATTACTATCATAATCTAAACTAATGGAGGAGAAATGTTTGAACTCAAAATGCAGTTGATTGAAGAGGAATGTGCTAAGTACAAGGCAATACATCACTTGAAGGGGTTGAGGATTGATTAAAGGGAGTAATGCTAGGGAGACTATTTATATACAAAATTTGCAAACTAAATGATGTGTCAGCAAGAGGAATGAGCACATTTATCAACGCTTAAGTCAAAATTTAATGATCAACTTTTATATTATTTAGATTACAAAATTTTGTCTACATTTTATTTAATGGAACCCAAAAATATTTTATTTAAAAACGTTTTCAATTATTTTAAAAGGATATCTAAACGAATCATTAGTCTCGCTGGCATTACTCTTAATTTGTGATGACAGGGGACCATCGATTAGGAGCACTGTAAAAGTCATTAAACAGTGGTTACCACTAATTAATGTTTCCAGCTTAACTTTGCCCTTCAAGTGATTTTCCGTTTCACACGTTTTGACTTGTCAAGTGAGCCGTTTTAAGTATCTTTTGCTCATTGCACTCTGTGCTGCTTTCTCAAGTATGAACACTGCCATTTCAACTGCCATTCCAACCACCGTTTCAGATTTTTGTGGGTTTTTTTTTAAACTAGGAATGTTTTGATGTGGGTTTTTCTGTAAAAGGGTGGTTGGCTTTTGCCTTTTCTGATCAATGGCTAGTAGAAATGGACCACTATAATTTAGTTCCAGAGCTTTCTGCTTGATTGATTGCTCTTCTTCATCTGAAAGGTAGAGAAGTAGCTAAGAATTTCATTTCATCTTCTTATCTTTATAATAAATAAAAAAATTATGCAAAGCGATATTTGGGAAGGGAAATTCCAACCCAAGACCTCGGCTGCAAGAGTAAACGCTTTCTAACCATCTTCTTGTTTTTCCTTAATTTAGACGTGCATGAAGAAATCTCCTGTGCATCCAAAATACGAGATGGATCATGATCATAGCAATGGATTTGATCCTCATACCGACTTTTATCAGGTTAGGTTTTTAATTAGTTAACGCTGAAGCGTTGAGTCTCGTAATGTTAAAGAGATTATAATATTTTGGGCATTCTTTCTTTTAAAGGACATATAAACCACTATAATATTTGTCACCTTCGTGCTTGAAAACAATTTTGTAGTCAATGCAAAAAAATATTCTATTAGTTAATTTCATCTGGTTTTAATTTTTAAATTCAATCAGTTTTTGGAAGAAGCCAAACACTATTCAGTAGAGGGAGACGTCCAGGCATCATCAGAAGAAGGTAGAGAGAGAAGATTGGGACAAGAAAAGAAGAAGAAATCATGGAAAAAGTTACTATTTCCATGGTTGAAAGGAGAGAAACTGAACAAAACTACTACAAAACCAGCAACCACATCTCATGTTTCTAATACGAAGAGGACTAATGTTTCCGGTCCGGTGTATGGCACCGGCAAGGCTACCGATGGCAAGCACCGGCGTCAAATGTCAGGGCCTATTGCCAGCCTTTTCAACCCCACAAAGAGAGCAGACAATGCAATGCCTTATATGTGCATCAACAAGAATGGAAGCCCTCAAGTTGGAAAAACTTATGGGCCAGTCTATTTGGTGACATAAATTTTCATGAAGTAGTTGGGGAATAGAGAATTGAAATTATTAACCTTTCTGCTCCATGAAGGATTTGAACTGATTGATGGAACTGTGGTGGCAAGAAGATCCTAGCCTAACCTGAAAATTTTGATGAAGTACAATGAACTTATTGATTGTGCATTGGCTGTGATGGGAATGCAGTTGGATCATCGAATGGAAGAAAGCCGGGAATTCAAGCCGTCTTGGTTGATTCGAATCATCCGAGGATGGAAAAGGATGCTGTGAAATTGTTCTTTAGGTGTACTGTTATTGTGTTTCATTTCTCAGTATGCTGTAAAATTGAACTTAAATTGCTTGACAACCAAGTCAATATAGCCTTCTCTTAGGGTTTGTAAGTAATAAAAGGAATTGCAATTAAGAAGTGACATTTGATGATTTTTGCTCTCGCACCTTGTGCTTATCTCTCGCCTCATGTCATGTGTCATTTGAGGTTAGGAGAGAGATAGGCACAAGGGGATAGGCACCCGGTTACAAATAAGTTTCTCTCGCTCTGGACTACATTTTTTTTGTTCTATTTCACTCAATCTTCAACTGCATCCTCATAATTTATATGCAGGAAAGCCAAATTATAGTTAAAAGAAAAAGTTCGTACTACACTTTCCCAGGAAAGCTTCATGTATTCTGCTTCTGCTAAAGGAGATGGAATGGCTGAGATCGTTCAACTTGCCTTTATGTGACAGAGACATTTTATGGCAATTGAGGACTGTTAATATATCTGAAATGGTGCTTACTTCATACATGTGCAGCTGTTTATAATTTGGTAGAAGCTTTCTGAGAGATCCTCATTGTCCCAAAAACTGGGGAGAAATGGTATGGTCATTGCGGCTTGGTTGTATATCTTCTTTACGTGATGGGGAGATGGGCACAAAGAGATATCACTAGGGAGAGATATGAGCGGTTACAAGGCCGATTCTCTCGCGACAACCATTTAATTTGATTTATCACGTGATAAGTGAGAGAGACACAAGAGAATATACGATTAGTTACTCTATCCAAAAACGTATTCCTCTTGCCATTCTAGCATTTTTTTTCTCTGAAACTGATAGAATAATAACAACACAAAATGTTGTTTAAAGATCAAAGAAGCCTCAGTAGTGATTTTCCCATATTATTTTTAGCAGCTTACACACCTCTGTTTAATTTGGTTTATTGGTTCCGTTTGATTTATTCAATTTGATGACCTTAAATAAAGAGGGGTGCGATGATAAAATACTGTGTGAAAATCACTTCCAGCAAAGGCAGAAGACATAACCACCAACATCCAACATAGACAAGAGAGATGATTGCGCATATTGGATGCTCACTAATCTGGAACAACATTTTTGGAGTCAAAAGAGAAATTTCCTGTTCACAAATGAGAGACTTTCATACATACAACTTCAAAACACTGCAGGAGAAAGTTAAAACATATGACATTATTCTCAGTGGCACCAAGTGTAGATAAGTCCTTTCCCTTGGGAATAACCAAACAAGAAAAACTTAAAAAACTTCAATTACCATTTCGTTTCCTTTCTTCTTCATAGAATCATAGGTTAACCAAAACAAAGGGTTTAAGGCATCAAACCCATAATTAAGAAAACTGAGCCTACATTTTGCTTACAAAATATACATTCATTTCAAACAATTTGTTTGAATTTTGTTTCAAAGTAAAGAGATACATAAATATATTACAACTTTCTTGACATCTCAAGATCCATCTCTTCAAGAATAAAAGAACAATTTACCAAATTAAAATCCCCATAGACAATGCTTATATTGTCATCTCCATAAGAACCCTAATCCAAAATTCTCAGGGATGCAAACCATTGCACATCTATCAGATCCTCCTCAAACAACAATTCACCAAAATTAATCTTCCCTTACCAAATTATGTGCAAACATTCTAGCTTTTTTTCTAACTCTGTCCTCCTCCTCTCTCTCCTTGTTCAACATCCACAGAACCAGGACTGCAGATACTAATCCTCCTATCCCTGCTCAACAACCTCTTCAGTGACCTCAACCGTGTCGGCACCGGAGACTTCAAGTCCTCTCCGGCGAACCTGTTACTGGAAGGCGAAGGCGAAGGCGGAGCCGAAACAAATGGAGTCTCGCTTGGTATCTCAATGACCAACATCCCATCGCGCCTATTACTTGCAGATGACAAAGATGAAGAAGATGGGCAAACGGGTTGTGATGAAGGGCCTTCTTCCTCCAAACCCGAACCGGGTCCGGAGCTCACCTGAGTTTGGTTCCCCCAAAACAACACATTTGTTGGGAAATTCGGAGTCTCAACCGAAATCTCAGATACCAAGTTCTCAGCTGGTGATAGTATCTGATCACTTACATTCTCTTCCAATGCAGAAGCACTGGAATCAGCAGAGCTCCCAGGAGCAACAGGGTTTCTACAGAGCGGACATGTGGAGTGATACTGAAACCACATATCGATACAATCAACATGGAATCCATGGCTGCATTTCGGAAGCAGCCTTGCTTTCTCGCCATGGACGAGCTCAGAGAGACAAACCGCGCATTCGAGACCGTCTTTGAAGTCATCGGAAGGAAATACTACTACTGGCAAGGATCTGAGGACTAAAGGGTCGAGCCCTCGTCGCATCGTGGCAACTGGGTCCTGCCCGGGAGCGAAAACGAATCGCCGCCGCCGCCGCCGTGACTGACCGGGAACCGAGGAGGTGAGGTCGTCGTTTGCCCGCCACAAGTAATATTTGGCGTAGAGGTGGAGGCAGAGGACGAAGACGACTACCAGGAAGAGGACGAGCACGGCGATCATCATGATTTTTCCGGTGAGTTGTACGGCGCTCGAGTCGTCGAGTGTTCGACGGAAAGTGGAGGAGTCTCCCATTGTTGCTGTTGTTCGAAGTAAAGGTGAGAGCTTTACCTCAAAAATCCAAAAAATGGATGAAGGGTATTGAGATTTTGAGGAAATTAGGAGAACCCAAATGAGAAATGCTTGTGTTTTGCTTGGAAATCAATTTTTCTGGATGAATTAGAGGCATAAATATATATGTGGAGAGAGAGAGAGAGAGAGAGAGAGAGAGAGAGGGACAGGTGAAGTGGGAAGGAAGTTGGATTTGTTCTTTGGGCGGATTAGGAAGGGAGAAAAGTCTTTGTCCTGAAGCTTGAGAAAGAGAAAGGGACGTAAGTGCAGAGAGAGAGAGAGTTGTATTTGTAATTTGCACCTCTACTTTTTAGGTTATAGGAGGAGTCAAAAGACACGACTTTTTTGTGGTCGAGGGAGAGAAAATCAAAATATGGTGGAAGAAGACGGCAATCTACTAATTGGGTCCAAATACGAGGGCAGAAGGAAGAAACAAAGGACTTCGAGTTCAAAGTTCAAACCCCACCTCTCAACTCAATGTCCATTTCTCAGTGCTTTCCACCTCTTTGACCCCAATTCTGGCATTTTATCACTTTTGAGACTTCATTTTTTCACTTTCAGGTTAAAATATATAATTCCTGATTTCCTTGTACTTATTTTCAAAGTCATTTTTACCAGTTACAGTCCTTTTTTAATAAGATATAATTTTCATACAATTGGAATATCGTTACATTGACATTTCAATGTTACATAAGCTTCTTCTTTAATTACTATTAGAAAACTTGGTTCTAATATCACACTCCTTGTGTTTTTTAGCGGTAATGAATTAACATGATGTCAGATTTGTAGTTGAGCACTTTCTTCACATTCACGACGAGTATTAACTTTTTAGATTGTACACTAAGACGACATCCATGACATTGAAGTTTAAGTTTTTATCTCATGAGTAAGTAGCAGTAATAATTAACTTGACCACTTAAGCTTGTGCTTGTAGATTTGAATTTGATGAAGAACATTTGAGAAGTAAAATAGGCCAATGCTACAAAAGTGGCTAAGTTGGTGGTTAGTGTAAATTAAACGTCCAAAGCAGCACTTGAACCACAATGTTCAACTTTGGTGGTTTACGTTTGTCAGTTCAACACCACCTTATTGGAATGAAGAACTTGATATGACATTATTTAATAGCAACTAGCAAGAGAGAAGAAAATACAATACAAAACTAGTTCAACTGTATCGGTAGTCCCGAACAATTATAAATCACCAAATAAAAAAGTTAATCTTCGAGACAATATTATAACGCGCCTAGAGTATACACTACACTAGTTCATTTTCGATTCAAATGTCAACACGTGTCTATTTTTTGAATTATTAGATTATCGGGAAAAATACAGGTGTGGGGTCTTCCCAGCATTTCACACGATTTATGTTATGTTCTGTTTTCAAGCACTGTTGTAGGTCTTAAAGCAAATCGCAAAGCAGCTAATTACACCTAAACCCTAATCTCTAATCCGGAAAGTTAGCTGATTCCCAGCTGCTTTTGTTGTCGGAGTCAAATATTTTTCTACTTTGTTCCCTTTTTTTCTCTTTCGTTGTAGGTTATGCTTTTGTTTAAGATGAGTAGTGAGCGGCGATATTTTCTAACATTAAAAAGAAAAATACCATTAAATTAAATAACTAATTAGTCGTCCTAATTGGTGTTTAAGTACGAGATAAAAGAGAAGACTCGCAATGTTCTTGGGTAAGTTGCAGGATGCAGTTGAGCTTGTCATGACTGGTATAATATGTGCTCAATTTGTTTATAAAAGTTTGTCAATACATTATGCACTCGTGCATGTAACAAAGTGATGTGAACTCCCAGATGGAATCCCTGCACTGATCTGAACCGTTAACAAAAAATTTTGAGTACACTCCTCTCATTAGTTCTAACAGATTTTTTTTTTTTACTAGATGCGGTATGAATCATATGGCCGAGCGGCTTTGATTCTTGGTGGTAGTTATGATTCAGGGTTTGATTGTTTTCGGCCATGTGAGCTCGAATACAAGTTATGCTAGATTTTAGTACTGGATATGATAAAACAAACTCTTTTTTTTCTTCTTTTACACGTTTTATTTGATCATGTCTGTTTATTCTCATCTGATTTATTCAATCTAATGATTAGAAATAAGAAATGCATGTGTAAGACCACATAGGAGGTGTGAAAATCGGCTACCTTTTACTATTAAAGGTTGTTGTTTTTACGATTACATTGAGATCTGTATCTTTCTTTGATGTAATTTTTAACTACTTAGAGCTATAATCTTGGTATCAAAAACTCAACAGTGGAAGCAATATTATATTTTATGAGCTCTCCTCCAATTTGGGTCCTGCAATTTTCCATGATTTTGGGCTTTAATTTAACATTTAGAATATAATAATGATGAACACTTGAGCAAGAAATAAATGGGATGGACATAATAATTGAATTGAAATGATTTTTGTTGCTCAGTAGTTATAGCCATTCATGTCATCCATTGGTAAAAGCAGAAACACACACAGAAATGAGTACCAAATTTTATAACTTTGTTTACAAATTTATAACTTATCTAAAAGGTTTCCGGCCTTTTAACTAAAATGATCCTTAAAACTTGACATAACTCATCACTTTACTAATCCTTGATAATGAAAATTGATAAAAGTGGTTCTTGAATTTGTCCACCGTAAATCATTTTGGTCTTTCGTGAAAAGTCTGTCAGTATCTTTTTATCAATTGTCACGCGAACGACTACGTGACCATATTTTTAAGGGTATTTTTGTCAAACCAACTTCTCTACTTAATGAAGATTTTGACAGATTTTTCAAGACATGACCATAATAATTTACAATGAACAAACTTAAGTACCACTCCTACTGATCTTCATTATCAAAGAACAAAATGAAGAGTTATATTAATATCAGAAACTATTTTGGTTAAAAAGTTAAAGATTACTGAAGAAAGTTGCGGGTACATCTCTATCAATATGAAAGAGGCCGTGCCATTTTGACACCGGGCCGCAAGGCTTTATTTGATAGCTTGAGGGCCATAGCTTTACATATTACTGAAAAGGCTAAAAGGAAAATGGGGATCATTTGATAAATATAAAAGAAAAAGGAGGGGCGATGAAGTGAACAAGGGTTGAGATCAATGCACTTTAAAACAAGTTTGATTCAACGTTGTTTGGTAGAGATCAAACTTTACCTCTAGTTTAGATGTATATGGAATGATTCATTAAATGTAAGATAACAAGTTTCAGTTGTTTTCACTTTCAAGTTTTTGTTTCATATACGTTCTTGTTTTCACTTTTAAGATTTTGTTTCATATACGTTATTTCTGCCTTTAAAACTAAAAATAAAAACCTAAACAAAAAGCAAAATAGCTATCAAACGGACGCTCCAACTTTACCGCTCCCTAGACTCTAAAGATAGAGATATCATATTTTTTTCCCCATGCAGCAACCATATCTCCTTGTTGACTTATGTGTCTGTCTTGTTAGAGAAAAAGTTGTGCAAATTTTAATTGGGGTGTACCGAGTAATGTCTTAGGAACTTTTTCACCAGCAGGAAATGTGAAGAAATAGATTTACCCCTATGTAAAGCATATGCTTTGGAATGTCTGCATAATCTCAGAGTTCAGAAATAGTTTGTAAGAAACCATACACGCCATGGTTAAACTTGGCTAGTGAATTTAATTAACACCTTTTAAGCTCCCTGCTGTTATTCGTACGCGAGTGCATAAAAAATTAGAAAATAATCAGTTCGGAGTGCATATGGATAAAGAACGCACTATCTATGATCATCAAGCTTTCTTTATCGTTGATGGCTTTGACAGAGGAAGTTTAATTTGGAACAGCATTTGTGCTCAGGAATGTTGAAGTTGACTGGTAAGCAGATTAAGCAACAAGGAGGACCTGTTAGGGTTTTGACTTCTGGGAATTGGTAGGAGGAGGCTGGAAGATTCCAGGAGGGGCTGCGGCTTGGGAAACTAATCAGATGGTCAATGATTCAAAGTTATAACTTAAATTAATCAAAATAATGAATGCGTGAAGCTTCAACTTGTTGGAAGAACATAGAATGCATGCGTGTAATCAAAATAAAATGAAGAACCCATGAAGGCGGCTAAGCAAACCGACCAATTCAAACATATATATTTGAGTCACGTTTATAATACAATACAATACGAAACGATGCAATACAATACATTTCTAATTAAGTGATGTACTTGTGAATCACACGATCATGATTAGGAAGAAGTTAAAATGTTTCTGTGAGTCTTCTTAGTTTCTAGAAGAATGAACTGTTATGGCTAACCCACCAGCTAGTTCTTTTTTTTTTAAAAGACAAAAAAAAGTGGTATGCTTGTATTAATGTATTCCATTAAAAAAATTGAATTTTAACGAAACATTCCCGGTATTATTCATCTTTAACGAAAAAACATATTTTTACCTTATCCTGGTATTATTCACTACACCATTATTTATTCTTTTTCATTAAAACTGAAGTTTTTTTTTTAACTTTTCGTTAGTTTTCTTTAAAAATAGACGATTTGTTGAATAAAACATTCATGTGATAGAAAAGCTAGACAAGTTGAAAAGAATATTGGTGGGAGGTCAATATCAAATACTACACCTACAACAATCTAAAGTCAAAAGTCAAAATTTCATTTCTAAAGACTAGTTTAACAACTACAATGCAAGATGTTGCTTTCTTTGGTTTAAGATTGTATTCATGAATTCGACATCGCATCTTATTATTTGCTTGGACAACAATATTACTAATTTAAGCAAATGATAATATGCTATGGCGAATTTGTGATTATTTTCTCTTCCCATGAGCAAGATGAACCACACACGTCATTTTGACAGGTTGTCTTTTGCTTCATACCTTGCCTTTGCCTCTTTAGAGTGTTTTATCATATATAGGGTACAGGGGTAACCATAATCAAGGAGAACATTAAAAGAAAAACTAATGGAAATGACTTGAAAACTTTGAGTTTTAACGATAAGGACAAAATAAAGGGTAAAATGAATAGTACCAGAATTGACTTTTTAGCGTAAAAATGTTGTTTTTTGTTAAAG